GGAAGCGGTGGCAAGGCATTACGCACTTGATGAAACAGCGACATGCTTCTCTTCTGGCCGAGATCTCTGCCTCGAACCTGCGTCGGCAGCGCCATGATATGCGCGGCGGCGCGACTAGCGCTGGGACGAGACCGCGACTGCCCCAAACGACTTGGGACTTGCCGAAGCGCGCGACAATTCTGCCCCATCCCGCGCGAAGCTTGGCTCGCCTCGCACTGGAACGAGGGGGCCGCAATGAAAACCTTTCTGCTGCGCTTCACGCCGTGGCCCGCGCGCGACCGCGCCCGCGCTGCGACCTGCCACTTTCCAGCGCGCGCGCTCACCGAGAGAGCGCGGGCGAGGAATGTGCTTGGAGCGAAGAACTCCGCCGCGCTCAGCTGCGGCGCCGCACGGTTCGTTCCTAGCAGACGCAATAATTCGCACTTCTCTCGCGACGGGAGGTCGGCGACATTCTCTTCCGACGGCGCTCGGCCGAACCGGGCCCCGCGTCCGACGCGCGCGATGAGGTGCCACAAAGCATGAATAATTCGCGAGTGGTCCCGAGCGGAGGCGCGGCCACTGCGCGCCGCTGCCTCCCCCTCCCCCCCCTCCTCCCCCCTTCTCCTCCCCCTCCTCCTCCTCATCATCATCATCATCATCATCAGCATCATCATCATCATCGTCATCATCATCATCATCATCATCATCCTGCTCCTCCTCCTCCACCTCCTCCTCCACCTCCTCCTCCTCCTTCCCCCCATGCCCCCCCTCCCCCATCATCCTACTCAGCCCCCACTATCCGACTGCGCATGACGCAACGGGGCCTGTCGGGGAGTTCCACGTCCGCCACGACGCGCGCCCGCGCACAGAAAACGCCAGCGCGATGGGGGGCATGGGCGGGAGGGGCAGGTGTCAGATATGGCGCGGGCGCACGCCACGCGCGCACGCGGCTCGCCCCCTCGCCCCCCCCACCCCCCCCCCCCCCCTCTCCAAGCCCCCACCCCTGGGCAGCGCCCCCCTTCCCTCCCTCGCTCCGCCCGCCGCCCTCTCTCAGCTCTCCGACCCCATCCCACATTTCCCTCGCCCCCCCCCGCCCACCCGCCTGCTCCGCCCCCCCCCCCCCCCCGCCCCGCCCCGCCCGTCCGATTTCCTGGCGAGGCGCGCCCTGGCGGCCCAGGCGCTCGCGCCGAATCGCCAGACTCGCTTCGCGCGGCGCGAAGCACAATTCTCGTCGCTTTCGCGCCAGAACGCGTTCCCCTCGTTCGCCGCCCAGGACCTGCAAGCTCAGCCTTTCCACGTGCATCCTGACGCTCTCGCGTCGTTCCTGCTCCATTCTCCCCGTTCGTCGTCGCTGATCAAGGGTAGCTGCTTCGCTAGCTCCAGTCTGGCGCCCTCCCAAGCGGGGCTGCGCTGGTTGATGCTAGTCGCCGCGCACTCGACCAGTCGCTCGCCGCCCTCGACGACCTGTAAGTGCCGCGCGCAGTTCGACCCATTTCGTAACGCGTTGCTTGCACCGCCCATCTTTGCATGCAGAGATGAGCTGCCCCCCCCCCCCCCCCTCGGCAACGCAGCAATAGCGGCCGGGGCGCAGTCGCCGCAGAGCCCGGCGGAAGCGGCGTCGGAGCGCCCGCCGCGCCTCTGGCCACGCCTACTCCAGAAGGCAGCGCCCTCGCGCCGAAGGCTTGCCTGGCCTTGTCGGACAGCTTGGCCGCGCTGCGCCTCGGCTTCTTCTCCGAAGGGCTCGCCGCCTTCCCGCGCCCGAGTCCCGGGGCGCAGCCGAAAGCACTGCGCAACGCAGCTTCAATTTAAAAAAGCCGAACGCGATGGACAAAAAAGGCGCGACATTGAACGGCGGAGTGGAGGGGGGAAGGGAGGGGAGGCGAGGAGGCAGGAAAGGAGCAACCAATAAGGAAGGGGCGCAGGAGGCGGATCCGGATGCCTTCCCCGAGCCTCGCCCAAGGGCCAGGGAAACAGTTTCACACCCCTTCGAACTCCCCGCCCCCCCCCCCCACGCCCCCCACCGTCGCGTCGCGGGGCGCTTGGGCCCCGCGCACCTGCGCCCCCAGCGCCCCACGAACAACTTAACATGTCAGGGCCCACAGGGGAGCGCAAGCGCCCGAATTCAACGCAAAACGGCGCTCGAACGCATCGCCATTTCGAGGGGGGTGGAAACGACGGGCCTCAATCGCAAAAGGTCTTCAAGAACCCCGTATCTTAATATAATGGGGAGCGACTTGTTCCGCGGGCTCATTGACGGAATTTGCTGGCCCAACGGGCCAGAGGCGTGCTAAGATCTCTGGTAGCTGGTAAACAATATTTCTAGTCAGCGCGCGCGGGGCGGGCCCTGGAGGTCCCCGGACGAAAAATACCCCACAAGACTCCCGGCAAGATCCCCGCAAGGTCCCGGCAAGGTCCCGGCAAGATCCCGGCAAGTCCTGTTCAAGGATGCCGGAACTCTTTTTCGGAGCCCCAGAGGGCTCCAAATCGGTCCAAGAGGGCCCCAAGAGGTCTCCCAGACGGTCCAACAGCGCCCCGAGACGCCGAAATATTATTCCACAACGCCTGACCTGGCCCCCAGACGACCCAACAAGTCTTCAAGACGCCCCAAAAGGTCCCTAAGCGGCGTCCCAAGGGGCCCCAAAAAGGCAAACATCGTCACATTCACTTCGGAAAACCTACATTTGTACCATAGCCGCGTCGTCGGCGTCCACACCGTCCAAGGCGGTCCAAGAGGTCCCCAATATCCCCCCAAGACGACCCGAGATGCCCCCGAGATGGCTCCAAGACGGGCCAAGATAGCCCCAATAAGGCCCAAGAAACCCCCAAGATGGCCGAAGAGGGATCCAAGACGGCTCCAAGAGCGGGCCCAGAAGGGGAACCTGAACGGACACGTCGAGCCTTCGGCCCAAACACGCCCCCTGGAGGCCCCCACAAGCCCCCAGAAGGCCCCAAGAGGCTCCGAAGAGGCGCCAAAAGAGCCCCAAGAAGCTTCCAAGAGGTTCCCAAGAGGCCCCCGAGAGGCCCCCAAGACCCCAGAGATCCGCCAGACCCCAGCAAGAGGCCACCAAGAGGCCCCAGCCAGAGCCCTCCACGAGGCCTCCAAGAGTTCCCAGGAAGCTCCCACGAAGCCTCCAAGGGCTCCCAAGACTCCACGAGGCCCCCAAGAACTCCCAAGAAGCTCCCAAGAAGCCTCCACGGGCTCCCAAGAGGGTCACAAGTACTCCTCCTGAGAAGCTCCCAAATGCTCCCAGAAGACACTCCCAGAAGCATCCATGAGCTCTCCGAGATGCCCCCCCTGAAGCTCCCAAGAAGCCTCCAAGGGCTCCCAAGAGGGTCACAACTACTCCTCATGAGAACTCCCCACTGCTCCCAGAAGACACTTCAAGAAGCACCCATGAGCTCTCCGAGATGCCCCCCGGGATCCCCAACACCCAGTTTTTCTCTCGTCCCTCACCCTCCGATCCTTCTCTTCGTTTTCCTCCAATTTCTGTCTAAAGCAGCGCCCGTAAGCCCAAAGAGGAGGCCCAAAGTGGGAACCGGAACGGACATATCGAGCCCTCGGCCCCAAGCGGCGCCCAGAAGCCCCAAGATGCTCCCAAATGCTCCCAAAGGAGCTCCAAGAAACCCCAAAGAGGCTCCAACAGAAACCCAAGAGGCCCCCAAGAAACCCCCAACGAAGACCCCAAAGGAGGCCCCCAAAAGCCCAAACGCCAGCGAGGGCACAATACGTGCCGGCGGAATGAGCGAAGCGATTAAATAAGACCGAAAACAACAATGGGAAAATAATTCGTTTCCCGCGGCGGCCACAGCCGAGGCTCTAAGGGGTCCCTAATTACAAGCCTCTTCAAAATAGATTGAGACGCGGTTCAAAATCGAAGCGCCCGATACCTCGGGCACTCGTCCGAAAACGCGTTCTTCAATGCGCACGTGCCAAAGAAATCATGCCAGCATTGAAGTAGCGCCGACCGCGAAGGCGCCGAAAACAAATGGTGTACATTTATGTTTGACGAATCGGATTCCTAAGGATTCTCAGGACCCCTCAAGATTCCTAAGGCTTCGTCAATGGAGGGGCGAGGAGGGGGAAGGGCGAGTTTGATTGCCAACCGAGGACTTCGGGGGAGCGCAGCATTACAGACCCTCTGCGATTATTTCTGAATACAGCAGACGCGCGTTGCACTCGCGCGCCACGCGCTCCGGGAGGATCGCCAGAAGGCCCGAAATTGCCCCGAGAGGGGCGTCAGCCCCCGGTGGCCCGACACCTGGCTCAAAAGATCCTGTCGGGCACTCAAGGGCCCCTCTGGCAACCATATCGGCGTCTCTGGTGGCCATAGCAGGGAATCCACGACGGCCTCCCAGGGCTCCGGGAGGGCCCGAACAGAAATCCCAGGAGAGGCCGGAGATCCAGGCGCAGTGGCATCAGCTCCTGCCCCAATTACATTTTCTGTGAAGGTCCGTCCTTTGGGCATCGGCTTTCGCCCAATCTTCCTTCTGCTGGCCAGCGATGAAGACCGAGGTGGCAGCCTAGTGGTCTGTTATCGAAGGGTCACCATACAGAGTACTTGGCAGGCACAAATGCACATTTACCTCAAGCAACTGGGCACAAGTGCAAAATTGCGCGCATATGCGCGTTGAAAATTCCAAGCGGCTGCCCCGTGTTGAGAAGAGACTACCATCTATCAGGGTATGTAGTCCCTGGATAATTTACAGCAGATGCGCGCGGCACTGACACTACAGACACGTTTTGAAAACCACCCGCCCTCCATCCGTGCAGGTGTTGGAAATTTCAAGCTTCGGGAACAGAACCAATGAAGAACCATCTGGCCAAACGCCTGGCCTGCCCTACCGACACGTCTGGGGGTGCAACGAGGATGAGTTCATCGTACGGAAAATTAAGGAGGAGGGGGAAGGGGAGACGGAGGGGGAGGCGCAATGGAACAGCGCGGGAAGCCGAGATAAAAGAGGAAAAACCGCGGAGATCCCCCCATCGCGCAAAGGAGAGCGCGGCCGCGGCGCGCACGCGCCTTGTCCACCTGCGCCTGCGGGGGGGCCTCATCCTCCTCCGCAGCAGCAGCCGTCTTACGGGCTCAAAGTGCTGGCGGGACGAGGCGGTGGCGCACACATTCCCCAGCGACGGAAGGGGCGTTGAGGGCCAGTCGAACCAAGGCTACAGGTGGCCACGAATCTCTCGCCTCCCTCTCCATCCCGCGCTACACACCATCCCTTGCCCCGCCTCGAGTCCCTCCCTCGCCAGGGCGATGGGGGTGCACCGGCGCCCCAAGCATGGCCGCGAGCGCCATCCGGATCTTCTGCGCCTCCTCGAAGCCACCCTCGGCACGGGGAGGGTAGCAATGGTCATCGCGGAACTTAAAGAAGGAACTCCGAGAGGGCGGCAATCACGAAGACGGTCAGGATGTCTGTACTTTCCCTTTCATGATTCCTCTGCCTTTTCACAATATTATCAGTCGTAGTCGGAGTATTAACCGCAGTAGCAGTACCGTTGTTAGTCATAGTAGTAGCAGTAGTAGTCATAGTAGCAGTAGTAGAAGCAGTAGTAGTAGTAGTAGTAGTAGTAGTAGTAGTAGTAGTACTAGTAGTAGTAGTAGTAGTAGTAGTAGTAGTAGTAGTCGTAGTAGTAGTAGTTGTGGTAGCAGTTGCACTAGTGATAGTAATACATAGTAATAGTAATAGTAGTAATAATACGAATGGGAATAAGGATAGGAATAGGAATAGTAATAGAAATAAAAATAGTAATGAGAATAATAATAGTAATAGCAATAGCAATGAAAATAGTAATAGTAATAGTAATAGTAATAGTAATAGTACTAGTAATAGTAATAGTGGTAGTAATAATAATAGTAGTAGTAATAGTAATAGTAATAGTAATAGTAATAGTAATAATAATAGTAATAATACTAGTAATAGTAAGAGTAATAGTAATAGTAATATTAATAATGATAGCGATTATAATAGCAATAGTAGTCGTAATAGTAATAGTAATAGTAATAGCAATAGTAATAGTAATAGCAATCGCAGTCGTAATAGTAATAGTCATAGTAATAGTAATAGTAATAGTAATAGTAATAGTAATAGTAATAGTAATAGTAATAGTAATAGTAATAGTAATAGTAATAGCAATAGTAATAGTAATGGTAATAGTAGTAGTAATAGTAATAGTAATAGTAATAGTAGATAGTAATAGTAATACCGATAGTAATAGTAATAGTAAAGAGTAATAGTAATAGTAATAGTAATAGTAATAGTAATAGTAATAGTACTAGTACTAGTACTAGTACTAGTACTAGTACTAGTACTAGTACTAGTAATAGTAATAGTAATAGTAATAGTAATAGTAATAGTAAGAAAACTAATAATAGTAATAGTAATAGTAATAGTAATTGTAATAGTAGTAATATTAATAGTAATCGTAATATTAATAGTAATAAAAATAGTAATAGTAATAGTAATAGTAATAGTA